GAACATGCTCCTGCTGGAGGGCCAGTGTTGAATGAGACCCCCAGCAGTAGTGCGACCTCTGTGGGAGCTGGCAGCACCTCGCAGAGGGCAGAGTTTGGCTCTGCGCTTGTACAATCGGTTGTAAATTCTGCTGAGCTCTATGGATCCATCTGGATGGAAAGGTCTGTATAAATGCAAGATCATTATCATTATCAGCTGTCCCAGTTGGAGCCCAGCGATTCCGCAAGCCCACAATCAATGGGGCCTTTCCAACAATTCCTTTCTACATGGCTTGAAAAAGGTGTAATTACATGGAGCTGCATATCCTCTGGAGAGACAGCAACATTCATGGCTGTCCCCAGAGTGATGGAGAGAGGCATCTCCCAGACCCTTTATTAGGCCCAAGGAGAGCAGTGCCCTCCACGCCTGCCCAGGTCAGGGACAAGTAGGAAACTGCGTCTGGGGCAGATCCAGGGCTTTGTCCTGGTGACATGTGGGGGGCAGGCTTTTCCTCTGCACCTCTGCAGCTGAAGCTCTCTCAGGAGGACTATGGAGACTGCATGGGTACTCTCCCACTTTTTCTTTATCTCATTTTGTCTGTGATCAGGAAGAACTTGGACTCAGTGAATCTTCCTTTCTGAAGCTGCCTGCCCACCTCACACAGAGACTAAGAAAAGCTTTGAGTTGGAGAAGGTAAGCCCCACCTCATTCTTTCTCTCTCAGCCCCCTGGTACGGTAGCTGTGCCATCTGCAGCAAGTTCCTTAACCTCTCCGAGTTTTCTGAAATAGGTTGGGCAACTCTTAACCTGCTGGAGAGCATGGAGTGAGCAGGACCAAGTGTGTTTCTGAGGCACCTTGCCTATTAGGATATAAGACTTTTTATTCTAACTCAAATTTGGTCCCATAGGAAGAGAAAAATCAATATACTTCATTTAAAAAAAATGTTTTGAAATTTCTCCTATCCCCAATAGAAGATTGGAAGTCATTCTGGAATTTGAAGACCAATCCAGAATCACAGAGCCTTAGGAAGGGCCCAGACTCAGGAAGGTGTGAAGCCCATCTTTTCTGCTTTACAATCATCTGACTTTAGTGGGGTAGGTGGGTAGGAGGAGTCAGGAAAATAGGTACCAAGTCACAGGTAAGAATATTAAGTTTGGTTCCTTCCTGCAGTATGGAGTGGTGAGGTTCCTTCCTAATAACCTGTTATGTATTTTATGAATAGCTAGAAGAGAGGAGCTCAAAAGCATATTGCTAAGGTGATAGAAATGGTAATTACCCTGATTTGGCTGGGTAAATATGATATATAAGTATTGAAATGTCACATTGTATCACATAAACAGTTATGTGTTAGTTTTTTCAAAAAAATGTTTAAGCAGAGGGAAATGTTAACTACTCCAATTTGATCACATGCTGTGTAGACGTGATGAATTAGGACACTGGACCCCGTACATTTGTACAATTAAAATTTTAAAAAAGCAGTGGTGTAATGGCAGCATCCCATCCACTTCCTGGCCTGTCTCCTCACTCAGGAGGAGGGGAGTAATAAGCGTGGGACCCCTCAGGGGCTCGCTTTGCCCCCGAGCTCTAGTAGGGGGATCTGCAGTGAAGCAGGAGGCTTTTCCCTGTCTCTGTGTGTGCTCCACACACAACAGATGAGTCATAGCCCTGCCCCAGGGTCCCCCAGCTCCAGCTCTTGTTCCTTAGAAAATTGCCAGGGAGCTGCAGGGAAGAGAGAGAAATGACCGGAAGGGAAACCAAAGCAGGGATAAAGCACTTCCCTGTCAGCTTGAGAGACACACCGACTAGGTCACTTTCATCCCACTAATATCAGTTCTGTTCCCCCAAAACTTTAAAAATGGCCTGTGGGATTCAGCAGGCTGAGACTTTGTCCTTTTGGTGTGAGGGCAGCAGACTTCTGAAGAAAGTCTCTGCTTGACAACCAAAAGTGTTCTCCTCGGTGACCATGGGGCCACATCTCGGAGCAACAGACCAACTGGCCAAGGAGTCCAGCCTGCTGGTCTCCTGGGTGGACAGAGTTCTCTGTTGGACTATGGCTAACAGAACATTCCAGAACACTGGGGGGCATGTTTGCCTGGGTCTGGGTAAGTTGAATCCAGTGGCTCGTCTCAGCCTGAGCTCTGGTACCATCTGCAGTACTTGTCCAGCCACCTCCACCAGCAAGTACTTCCTACAGGTGTCTCAGTTTAGGGCTCTGTGAACTGGGTCGCCTCTTACATGTGACTGAGGAATGAGGGCTCTGTCTGCAGGATTCTTCCTCAGCTCCCCTGGAGTAAAAGCACACATCTGGTGGGCATTGTAATTCCATAAATGAGCAAAGGGCCACGTTTATGAAGTCTTTACAGTTCGTGGTTTATGAGTCTCACAATAAAAATAAAAATTCAAGGTCTACCTCTGGTTATTCTTAAATAATGAAGTCTGATTTATCCTCTTCGTTAGGGCTTTATGTCTCTATTGTGAACCAAGTTATCAGATCTTTAGCTTAAGTAACATTTAGAGTGTGGAAGAGAGTGTGAATAATACCCAAGGCTTCCTAAAAAATTCATAAAGATCTAAGCAGGCTGCCCCAGGTTTACTAGCACCTATTTCACAAGCTGTGCTTAGCAAATACAATTCTCATGAGTGCTGCCTTTTATTTGGCAGTAAAACCTCCTGTGATTCCATTTGTAAACTCAGTACTTAGCATGGGAAGGACAAGGACAGCGTGAGCTTGCACCAGCTGGTGCAGGACAGCCCTCCCCAGGTGCTGATTTTAATTCCTATCCTGAGTGTGAGGACGGCACAGAAGACTCAGGAAGGCAGGGGGAGGGAAGTAACGATGTGTTTACCTAGCAGGCTCTGGAGGGGAGGCTCCCGTGTTCTTCCACTTACACCTCCCCACCGATCCAGGAAGTAGATTTTATTACCCTGGTTTTGCAGATGAGGAGACTGAGGTTTTCAGCCAGTGAATGTCCAAGCTTCCATAGCCTCAGAACTGGAGTTCACTGGAAATGCTGGGATAATACCAGGATGTTCAGCTTCTCATTCTGTGTTCTGCCTCCTCTGTTGCTACTATCCTATTCATGTGACCTAAGTTAGTGGTAACTACTCACTTCCTTATTTAATTTCTCCAAACCTCAGTATCCAACCTATTCCATAGAAATAACAATATTGTCCCACTGCCCTCCCTGGGTTGCTGTATGGACAAAAAATAAGATAATCATGAGCCAGGGAGATGCCTTTCCTATCCTCTCTTTAGGGTTTCAGGCCAGTCTTACCCAATTCAGTCAAGGGAAGAATGATTCTGTGTGTGGGGAGAGAATACTTTGGATAAGGTGCGATTCTGGAGTAACAAATCCAGTTTTTTTTTTTGTTTTTTTTTTCTTTTTCTTTTTGCAGGGCTGGGGATTGAACCCAGGGCCTTGTATACGGGAGATAAACACTCTACCAATTGAGCTATATCCCCAGCCCACAAATCCGAATTTTATGCTCTGTACAAGCACATCTCAAGGCAGAGGAGTAAAAAAGGAAGAAGAAGAAAAAAAGCCGACATCTTAGCATGAAATTCTGGCCCATTGAGACCCTGCAGAGAAGATAATAACAGCTATCAACCACTGTTGCTCCGGCTCCTTTCACCTGAAGCAGAGACTTCCCAGGCTGCAGGGAGACTGATGTGTGGGATATGAAGTGGGTGGCAGGGCTGGGCCTTGCATGCTTTCCTGACTTGGTTGGTTCATGGCCTCCAGGACAGAAGGAGTGCAACTATTAGAACAGAAACGCCTGTGAATTACAGTGGCCAGGGTCAATGATTTGTTGTGACACATAGGATGCTTCCTAGAGTCCATATTATTAAATTAGACAATTATTAAAATTAGACATTTTAGCACAATTTTATCCAATTGTGAAAACATTACAGGCAATGTTTTTTTGCCAAGGGTCAGATTGTAACTATTTTCAGTAGGTAGGCAGTCTCCATCAGAATTATTCATCTCTGCCTTTTTCATATCAAAAGCAGCTACAGGCAGTACATAAATGAGTGGACATGGCTGTGTTCCAACGTAACTTTTTTTACAAAAGGCAGTCCAGATTGGGCCCGAGGGCCATGCCTTTGATTGAAATTTCAATCCGTGTTTTTGTTCTGTTATGATTGACAGTCTCGAAGACTACAGTTATTTTGTGGAAAGTCCTTCAGTTGGTTTTCACTAGCATTTCTTCACGATTAAATTTAAGTTATATAATTTTGGCAGGAATATCCCAGAAGTGATGTTGGGCCCTATCAGCACATCACAGTAGGAGGCACAGGGTGCGGCTTGGTCCCATTATTGATGTTGAACCAGATACTATTTAAAATGAGGGATTTGAGCAGTTTCAAACACAGTAAGAAGTAACTCCACCGACAGGAGCAGAGTGAACTGGGCGAGGAAAAGCAGCATCCGAGCCTGGCTAGAGCACAAAATGTATGGATAGGAATAACTATCAGTAACAATAATGAGGTATTATTTATTGAACACAAGTTTTATTTATTTATTTATTTAATTTTTTTTAGTTGTTGATGGATCTTTATTTATTGATATGTGGTGCTGAGAATCAAACCCAGTTCCTCACACATGCTAGGCAAGCGGCTCTACCACTGAACCATAACCCCAGCCCTTGAACACAAGTTTTAAAGGAAAGGTAAGCTTCATAAGGAATGGACAAGTTCCTGAAACAGATTTGAATATTTTATGCTAATTTTGATGAAGAGTGGGCAGTAATGAGGAAAAATCATTGGACAAAGGGTGTATGATCTAATGGTATAAAAAACGAGGGGAGAACTAAGCAAGGGCTCTTGGGTCAGATTCTGTCTGTGGCCCTGTGTCTTTGGAGATGAACATATTTCTTTCCTCCAGTTGTAGAGAGGGCGCTTTCCAATGAGGGTCTTATCACCTGTTTGAGAGGAAAGTCTTGCCAGGTTTTCTGATGTGCTTCAAGGGAGAAGGGCAGGGAGAAGGTGAGAGTAGCTCTCCTGCTTTTGCAATTACTTGAAATGCACAGATGCCACGTGTTGGGGACCCTATCTAGAACCTCAGCAGTTTATTTCTTTACCTTTATAGACTGCATTTGGCTACATGACTTCTTTAAACCAATAGAATGAGGAGACTTCAGGTCAAGGAGACTTCACAAGTTTCTTCTTGCTCACTTGTGACCACCAAGAGAAGAATGTATGTGGGCTATTCATCCTCCAAGAAGAGGATGTGACACACTTGAAGCAGAGCTACCAGCATCCGGCCGACTTGCAGACTTGTGAGAAATAAAAAAGGACTGTTATTTTAAGTCATTTTGGGTTTGGAATGATTTGTTCTGTAGCAATGGCTAACTGATTATGTTTAATCAATTTGCCCCTGGTCCCACAACTAGTAATTTGGGCGGCCACATTTTTGAAGCAAAACTAATATTCTAGCAACTTCCATTTTAACTCTTAAGCTCTAGTTATGTATTGTCGCTGCACATTTATGCTGAAGCTCACAATATGGTAAGTAGTACCTAAGTCTCATTTCACAACGTGGATTTTCCCAATGACACTTTTATTGACTTTATAAAGTCCATGGGTACTTGGAGACTCAGGGGTCCTTAAAATCTGGGGGAATCACAGATTACTGAGAGTCTGATAATTGCTCTGAATCCACGATCTTTCTCTACGTAGAAAGATTATGCAAATGAGCATACAAAATTTTGCATACAGTTGAATGGTCTTTACTACCAAGTCTTTAAATAAATCACTCAGAAATGTGTGGGCTGCAGATGAAGAATCCTGGTTTTAGATGATCAGACTCTGAGCTGGATGACAATCTATATTTTTGATTATAAAAAATCAGTTGGACAAACTCCCTTGTCTCTCCTTTCATTCGTGTAGTGTTTCCTTTATCTGATGCCAAGTTACTCTGTCTCTCCTCCTGCCTTTCCACTCCCCAAACCCCTTTGTCACATTCTAAAATCCAAAACCATCTTTCTGGCAACCTAGAAACCAGTGGGTTTTGTTAGAACTGTTCTCCTGCCCCGTATCCTTTGTCTTTGCCATAGCCACTGCCATCCCTTGCTTTCCTCATTGTTTGTTTCCAGATCCAGGATCTGTGTGTCCAGCCACGAAGAGCCACTGAGCACAAAGTATCAGCCAAGTACAGTGCTATGAGCTATAAAAACAGTAATAGTTCACATTGATTGAGTACTTGAAGAAAAGTACTCTGTACATGAAGAAAAGTACCTTTTACCCATTATCTCATGAATATGCACAACAACCAGGGAGGTAGATTGTATACTTGTCTCGGTTTATGGCTAGGGAAGTTGTGGCTAAGATCTAAGTAAGCCCATAAGGGAAAGTGTCAGGATCTGTAACCAGAATCCACTCTCTGTCACTGTGGCTGGTCTCTGAACTTCTATATCATTCTTTGGGTCATCATTTATGCTTCCTGAAGCCAGAGACTGTGTCCTTGATGTTCTCCAGGCTCTAGTTACTCCATAAATTACAGCTCTATAATTCCCATGGCTCCTAGTTTCTAGTATGAACTTGTAAAAGTCTTTACTACCAAGTCTTTAAATAAATCACCCAGAAATGTGTGGGCTGCAGATGAAGTTCTAACTACCTGCTTTGTTCTTACCACTCACCTTCTCAAGCATTGGGCTCTTTCTCTGAGCCCCAGGATGACAGCCTGGTCTTGTGAAGAGATTTTTCTGGTTGACAACTGGTTGCCATCTGACTCCCAAATTACTCTCACCCTGGATTCATGCTTATGTGTGTTTGAGGAATAGCAGGTTTTCTTGGAAGCTGCTAGGTTATTAGTTTGATGTTTTTGAGCTCCATGTATAGAAAAGGTGTCTTGGGGAAGTAAAAATGTGGGTGGTAACTTGAAAATTGATAATTTGACAGGAATGGGATAAAAAGACATTCATGAGTGCAAGATAAGCTCTGAAGGGGCTGTTTCCAAGACACTAGCTAGAGAGGTTGCAGTTATGCAATGATGTTGTGTGTCCACCAATTTTGGTAGAATCTGCCCTTGAAGCAGTTGGTTTTGTGCCACAGCCCAAGACAGAGCCCCAATTTATCAAACATCTGCAGACAATAGACGACTGTCCTTTAGTTAAGCCACACATGAGGAGCTGATAACGAAACACATCTTCCCTTTATTAAAGGCAGAGGAGAAGTTGGTAGCCAAAACAGGTCAGCTTCCTAAGGTTTTGTTTTTTCTGTGCTTTAATCTCTCTCTGGTCAAATAAGAAGAGCTATTATCTAAATGCCTGAGAAGCAGCAAGTGAGGTGGAGAGACCCGGAGGAAGAAAGCAGGCCGTCAATCAGTGGTCTGTTCCCTGGGAAAGACTGGAAGTATTCCCACCTTGAGAATCTATCGTTTAAAGTATGCAAAAAGGGGCAAACAAAAACCCATTGGTCATATTTGCAGACCATGAGAGGTTGATGAACTTGCCAGAATCTTCAAGGACAGTAAACTCTAACCCTCATCCTTTGGATCATTGCCATTGGGTTGGTAAGCTTGGTCAGTCACCTCAGATAATGTGGGCTGGGTCTTTTTGACTAACACTGTGAACTTATGAGTAAGCAAATTTTCAGTGTCCGGGCATGTGGACTCAGGTTGGATTATAGGTGAGCTTGGAAATTGTTAGTCGGTTATAACATCAGGTTTCTTGACTTTGCCAACCACCTTTGAATGTGGTAGACCTCCAGGGAAGAAGGTAGATGGAGGGATTAATCATGCAGAGATGAGGAGGGCTGGGGATTCAGCTCAGGGATAGAGCACATGTGAGGACTTACATTCAACCCCTAATACTGCCGAGATGACCCTTATCTTCTCCATCTCCTATTTTTAAGGGGATCCTACTCTCGATAGTATGACAGTGTTCTTTTGGAAGGAGTAAAGGTTAATGTGGGGTGGGGTGTGGAATTTGTGAGACCTTTCCATTCCATCTCCACCAAGCAATACCAACTTCCTCTTGGAGGGAAGAAGCTGTTTCTTAACCTGTCTCTTGTCATATGTTGAAAATTTAAAAATTTGTCCAACTTTTGAGAAAAATGGCTTCAATCTGTTTTTTTTGATTATTATTATTAATTGCTCAATCTGTTCTTAAGGTTCAGAATTTCCACTGTTTTCCCACCAGACTTTGTTTGGAAGCTAAGAATAGCAAGCATGATTCTTAAAGCAAAGATAGGAATAGCAGAACTAATTTCTTGACTCTCAAGAGGACAATGGGCAGCAAGATGCAGATGAATGCTAAATTGATCATGGATATGCTGGAAATCTTCAAAGACATAGCTTGGTATTTTCTTTGGCCTTCTACATCCTTCAGGCCCGTTGAAGAATGATTGAGCTAGTTCTTTCATCTTTTTGTACTTTGTGCGTAAATGTGTTTATGTGTGTAAATAGAATTATCCCATTGTATTACAATCAATCATAACCTTTTTAACAAGAGTGACTATTTTCCTATGCCCATAGCAATAAGTGTTTAGTAATTAATTGTAAGCTGTCTTGAATTATATTTTTATGCACCTGCCAGAAGCAAAATTCTTTAGAAAGCATAAATTCTTTAGAATATACAAAGCATAAACTTTCATAGAGACACTTTTCCCTTATTTATTTATTTTTGTTTGTTATGTTTTTCTTTAAACCAATTTCTCTTGCTTTCTAAAGACCACCCTGCTTTCCCCTGGTACCTGGGCAAACCATCTGCCTGCCAAAGAATTCCCTTCAGTGGCATTCTTAGAAGTATAACACAGTCATTTGAAAATTATTTTAAAAAAGAAGTAACTTCCTTAAACATGTCTCATATATCTGAGATTATATCAGGCTCAAAATATATAAAGAACATGATATAGACTGATGAAATGCTTTAGAGATAAAGTATTCAATATTAGGCCTTCAGGAAGGAGAGGAGATACATACTAATGGAATAGAAAACATATTTAGGCCAGGCTCAGTGGTGCATGCCTGTAATCCCAGAGACTCAGAAGGCTGAGGCAGGAGGAC